CTTCTGGAACATGGCCATAAAGCCCAGAAAACTCACAGCAACCCAAGGATCTGTTACTTTGGCGATCACATTGGCTACAGTTTTTATGGGAGGAGGGTGTTCTTTGGGCTAGGAACAAAGATATATTTATTATTTTATTTTTAATCATACCACATACACACAGAAACACTTACTTTAAAGGCACTACATGACATTAAAGGAATATCAAGGCATATTTTTAATTGTTCTAAATAAATAATTCTCTGCTTGTTCTCAATGCAGTTATTAGAAAAACAAACCATGAGGCAAATGTGTGTAGTCATTGGGAAGAAAATATTGTGTCAGAAAAGAAAAGTGGAGGACTTTTCCTGACTGTTGTTAACAATTCAGTTATACTAGGATGGGCAACTGCATTGGGATCAAGGTTAAATTCTGTGACTCCTGTAGTGAGTGATTTCCAACCCCAAATCAGACAGAATAACAACTAGAAGTCACTTCTGGTTTGAATTCTAGGCTTTCAGCAAGATTTTCAGCTTAGAAGGGTTGAATTAGGGCAATGTTTTCAACACCACTCATAGAAGCTTCTAAGTGCAGTAGTTTTGCTTCTTTTCAGGGATTTGGGGGGCAGTTTTCAACCTCCAAAATTCACTTTTCAGGGGCCTTGTGGTCAACTACACAACATGAATTGAAAGCTCTTCGCTCTTCCCTTTCCCCACACTGAGGGCCCTTCAACACAACCCTTTATCCCAGAATATCAAGGCAGAAAAACCCACAATATCTGCTGTGAACTAGGTTATCTGAGTCCACACTCAGATAATGTGGGATTTCCTGCCTTGATATTCTGGTATATAGGGCTGTGTGGAAGGACCCTGAGGCTCTGGAGTCTTCCAGACACATCCTATATCCCAGGATCTGATCCCAGGTTTTCTGCTTTAAACTGGATTATATGAGTCTGCACAGCCAGATAATATGGGATATGGGCTAAACAGAAAACCTGGGATCAGATCCTGGTATTTATGGCCTGTCTGGAAGGGCCCCCTTTCTCCACACTCTTCTTTATTACCCTTCTTGCATTGATTCATAGCTCAAAGTATTAACACCAAACATCAGATTGAGTGGGTAGGAGTCCCCTGCAGTACAATGGGTTAAACCCTTGTGCAGGCTGAACTGCTGACTAAAAGGTCAGCGGTTGAAATCCAGGGAGTTGGGTGAGCTGCCGTCTGTCAGATTCCGCCTCCCACAGGATGGTAAACATCCGGGCAACGTCCTTGCGGACGGTCAATTATCTCACACCAGAAGCAACTTGCAGTTTCTCAAGTTGCTCCTGACACAGAAAAAAAAAGATTGAATGGGATATCAACCTGAAGACAAGTAAATTTATCACCTGTTATGATGCGTTGATTCAGAAGTATGTCACTGGATGTAGGGGATTTTCATCTCCATGTATGTGTGTCCTAGACACTTTTTAATCCAAATTCTAAACTAGGTTTTAGCTCGCATTCATGTTGTAGCTTAAAAGACTCCTTGAGTGGGCTGTGCAGTGTTTGTAGTTGGCTTTGAGCGGTGAAAGATCTGCAGGAGCCATTTGTTCTTTCCCATCAGCAGCCTGTCTGCAAACGAAAGGAGTGAGAGACTGGCTGTGTGTCTATGCATCCGCCTTTAAACCCCATGAGCTCTAATAGCGTAGGGGTGGCAGACTGGCTTAGCAGGTTTTTCCTACCATCTCATAAGCCAGAGGCAAGAGTGCAGGACCCCAGACTGAGACAGTCCTTAAACCTTCATGCTCTGGTTGCAAAATTAGATTTTAAAACTTCACCGGTCAGTTTGAGGAGGCTGTATAGTACACATTTGATCACTTAAATTATATGATTGCACACCAGTGGTCATACTGACTTTCTCTTTCTCTCTCTGCCTTTTGTTCTGATATTGGAAAACGGATGCTTCCTTACAGATTTGCCTGAGCTTAAAGCTGAGAGGTCGTTTCCCAGCTTTGTGTTATTGCTTCAATTATTCCGGCAGTCTGTTCCTTTCACCAATCAAGGCTCTCGCTATTGAGAGGGTGCAAGATTTTTTTTCCTGGTGCAACATGGCAGGATGTTAGAAGCACTGTGCTCAAAATGCAGGGATGTTAACGAGGGGAAATCGTTTAAATCAGGATGCATATGACTGATAATTGATGACTAGGGAAAGAGCTTCTAATTTATTTGTGCACATTCACAAGCTGCTCTCGTTTTACAGCCTCTATTCAGCTGTGGAGGTCACGTCTGGGCCGGGTGATGTACTCCACTGCAAACTGTCTACTAATGATGAAGGTAGGTGGGTGCCGTTGCTGCAGTGTTACCATATTTATGCGAGTAGTATGCCAGGAGAAGCTGAGGCTGGGTTAGTTTCTGGTTACCAGTCTGTGGAATATAGCTGGGCGCTCTGACTGAAATCATGTTGAGGGGCCAAGCAGCGACAATGCAGGACATACACTTTTAGGCTTCCGCTCTACTACAGCTAGAACTGCTTCCTCTCACATTTACCTCTTGTTCTGTTTGCACACGTTATCACAGTCACCGTTAACATTTTGCTTTTAAATTATTTAAAACACTGCTTCTTCTGTAATGGCTGCCTGGCTGTTCACACTAAGCCTCATGCAATCCATATACCTGCAAAGGAAGGGAGGGACATAGGAAAATTGTTCTTTTGCACACACACCCTTCCCTTAGACTGACTCTTATTCGGCTTTGTTTTGCTCAAGTCTCCCATTTCTTTCTGCTGTGTCTGGAAATAAATAATAGCCAGTACTTCCTCAGGGTTGTCAAGGAGTCCTGGGAACGAGTATGTCTCGTTGCTTTTTTTTTTAATCGTGTCAGAAGCAACTTGAGAAACTGCAAGTCGTTTCTGGTGTGAGGGAATCGGCCATCTTCAGAGACATTGCCCAGGGGACGCCCGGATGTGTTACTATCCTGTGAGAGGCTTTTCTCATGACCCTGCATAAGAAGCTGGGGCTGACAGATGGAAGCTAACCCTGTCTCACAGATTTGAACTGCCGACCTTCAGGTTAGCAGTTCAGCCGGCACAAGGGTTTAACCCATTGTGCCATCGCAGCTCTCATTGCTGACTTTACAGCAAGAACAGCAGGGGGTTACAGTCTGAATCATAATGCTTCTTCATTAATTCCTTGTCACCAAAAGTCCTGCCAAATTGTGATCAGTCCTCCAGCTCCTTTCCAGATGCATAACTCCTCATGTTGTTGTTGTGTGCTTTCAAGTCATTTCTGAGTTACGGCAAACCCAAGTCAACACTGTTTCTTGGCAGAATTTGATCAGAGTTTCTCCTTGCCTTCCTCTGAGGCTGAGAGAATGTGAATTCCTCAAGGTCACGCAGTGGGTTTCCATGGCTAAATGGCGATTTAGGCCCTGGTTCCCCAATATCCAAGTCTAATACTCAAACCACTGCACCAGGCTGGCTTTCATTACTCCACGTAGTCACACTCAAAAGCCATTGTGTAGCTCTTTTGTCTTTCCCTTCTTAGGTCCCATCTAAAGGTAAAGATAAAAGTTTCCCCTTGACATTAAGTCTAGTAAGTCTGACTCTTGGGGGGGGGGGGGCGGGTAGAGGGTGCCCATCTCAATTTCTAAGCCAGAGAGCCAACGCTGTCCATAGACACCTCCTAGGTCATGTGGCCAGCATGACTTCATGGAGCACCATTACCTACCTTCCTTAGCGGTCTACTCACATTTACACGTTTTCGAACTGCTAGGTTAACAGAAGCTTAGGCTAACAGTGGGAGCTCATCCCACTCCCCAGAATTGAACCACCAAGCTTTCAGTCAGCAAGTGCAGCAGCTCAGCAGTGTAACTCGCTGCGCCCCCGGGGGCTCCGTCTGCACTGCTATATAATCCAGTTTCTGTTCCCAAATTATCTGCTTTGAACTGGATCATGTGGCAGTGTAGACTCATATAATCCAGTTCAAAGCTGATAATGTGGGATCAGAAACTGGATTATATGGTAGTGTAGATCTAGCCTTAGTGGGGGGTTTTGGCGGGGGGGGGGGTAATTGGACCCCTTGTAAAGTGCTTCCTGGTAGTGTATTGGAGGATCTCTTCTATTACCAGAATTTAAAATGCAATTGCGACTCAAGTCAAGGGTTGCATGAAACAGAGTATGGTGCCATCTTTTCTGTTGCCTCCGAAAGCAAAACAATTTCTTAAATACACAAGGATGGAAAGAATCCTTCATTTTAAATATGGAATAGTAATATTGTGCTGAACAATTTCATGATCATTGTAATCATTGTGGTTTTCCAGGAATAATACAGTAGAAGTGCAGATTTCTATAGACATTGATATTCTCCATTCAACCCTTACTCCTTTCCTTTGTAGTAAATCTCTCATGTAGTATCTCTTTAATAATAGCTAATCACTTGATGGTTTCATTTTCCCCCTTCTTTTTAAGGTATTGTTTTGAAATTCTGCAACACAGTCTAGGATTCAGAGGCAATCATGCTTTGAAAAAATGCTCATCTCAAAGTACAGACTTCCAAAACCTTTTTGAGCATTCACATCCCTTTTGTGGTAATGCTGTGCCTGTACCTTAAGTGGTTTACAGCTTTCCCCATCCTTATTTCCAGCTTCGGTGAGATCACCATTAAAGATTCTTTTACTAGGAGTAATATTTACATGCTAACATAAAGGATTAAAAGTGGATTCAAGGGAGTGGTCACAATCCCAGGGACTTCATTATGTGTTTCTCTTTGATATAACCTCAAATTTAACCCTGTCAGTATATCCCCAGAGCCCCTGGTGGTTCAGCAGGTTAAACTGCTGAGCTGCTGAACTTGCTGACCAAAAGGTTAGCAGTTCAAATCTGGGGATCGGGCTGAGCTCCCACTGTTTGGCCCAGCTTCTGCTAACCTAACAGTTCGAAAACATGCAAATGTGAGCAAGAAGGTAACGACACTCCATGCAGTCATGCTGGCCACATGATCTTGGAGGTGTCTACAGACAACGCTGGCTTTTCGGCTTAGAAATTGAGATGAGCACCACCCATCAGAGTCGGACACCACTAGACTTAATATCAAGGGGAAACCTTTACTTTCACTCTTGGTATATTCCCACAGGTCAGAACAAACATTCTCTTGAAACTCAGAGGAATTTATATGATGGATGCATACCAGTGTATATTGGATCATATAGTACATCAAAATTATTTGAGATTACAGTAAAGATTGCTGTCGGCATTAGGACCTGAATTTTCTCCTTCCATAGATGCCTTTCCATCATGGTCAAAAGTATGAGGAAAACCTCTGCACATTAGGGTTTTCCATTCCTCTCTTTGTTCCTGTAGCTACCCACAGCATAGTCTCTACAAAGGGATCTTCCAGTCCTCTGGTGTGATTTTCATGCTATCCTTGGCGTCCGAGGGGAAGAGACAGATATGCCCCTTTCCTCTTTGACAGGTGCAATATTCCTTCTAGGAGGTGTCAAATGGGAACCATCACCTAGCTGCAAATGTAGAGGTGACTCACAGGGCAGAGTAATTTGTGTAATTTACTTACACACACACTTAGGCATGTAAACACTGCTAATTTATATTGTGTGAACCACATGGTCTGTGAAGGAAGTGGGCATGAATTTTAATTTCTTTGTATTTTACCTCTTATTAGGAGAATTCTGATTAGCGTGCAATGTCATTTAAGATTACTGAAAACATTCCCATTAATATTTTAAATCACACAAGTACAAATAATTAAGAATTTTGTGTACTTGGGGGTTTTTTTGCAGGTGAATTAATTATTCTTTCAAATAAAACATTTAGTTGTCAGCATTGATTTTCTGTTGTATATTAAGATCTTTTGGAATTGGTCTGAAAGCCAATCTGTCTGTACTTCCACCTTCCAACAAAGCCCTTGCTTGTTCATCTCTCTAACAGACTAGAAAGATATGGGCCAAAACTAACAAAATGAAGTTCAACAGAGACAAATGCAGGATACTCCACTTAGGCAGAAAAAATGAAATGTAAAAATACAGAATAGGGGTTGCCTGGATCAATAGCAGTACGTGTGAAGAAGATCTTAGAGTTCTTATGGACAACAAGTTAAACATGAGCCAACAATGTCATGCAGCAGCTTAAAAAGCCAATTGGATTTTGGCTTGCATAAATAGGAGTATAGTGTCTGGTTCCAGGGAAGTCATGCTACCCCTCTGTTCTGCCTTGATCAGACCATACCTGGAATATTGTGTCCAGTTCTGGGCACCTCAGTATAAGGGAGACGTTGACAAGGATATGTCCAGAGAAGGCATAGGGAGGAGTGAGCAGGCTTGTTTTCTGCTGCCCTGGAGACTAGGATGCAAAACAATGGCTTCAAACTACAGGAAAGGAGATTCTACCTGAACATTAAGAAGAACTTTCTAACTGTGAGAGCTGTTCAGCAGTGGAACTCTCTGCCCTGGATTGTGGTTGAGGCTTCTTCTTTGGAGGCTTTTAAACAGAGGCTATATAGCTATCTGTTGGGGATACTTTGAATGTAATTTTCCTTCTTGGCAGGGGGTTGGACTGGATGGCCCATGAGGTTTCTTCCAACTTGATGAGTCTATGATTCATATTAATTGAACTGATTTTGAAACTAGGGGATTTCTAGTGCAAAAGGGGGGGGGGTTGTGCTCTGGTGGGAGAAGGAGTAATTGCATAAATTAAACTGTTCATTATCAACTGAGCACTAAGGAAGAATTATATTATTGTGCTGTCCCTTTTAAAACAGATAAACTGGTTACGTCTTTAGACTTGAGGACTAAAAGCTGCAAGATAATGGCCCTGCACAGGGTGGTTGGGCCAGGGAAAACCAGACAACAGCTTCTCAATTGGTGTGGAAGAGGTTTTGAAGACAATATATTTAATTTTAGGAACAAGTTTTCAATAGAGAGATAAAACTTCAAAAGGTTGCTTATTATTAACTTCCCAGGGGAGCCACTCTGGTACAATGAATTAAACTTGTGCTGGCTGAACTGCTGACCTGAAGGTCGGTGGTTCAAATCTGCAAACTGGGTGAGCTCCCGACTGTCAGCCACAGCCTCCCAAGCGGGGACATGAGGGAAGCCTCTCACATCCAGGAGTCCCCTGGGCAACCTCTCTGCAGACAGACAATTCTCTCACAGCAGAAGCCACTTGCAGTTTCTCAAGTCGCTTCTGACATTATAAAAAATATATACTTCCCAAATCAACAGTACACCCCTGGGATTTTGTTCAGGCACATTCCACCACACAAGACTAACTGGAAAATAATTATGTGAACAGTTGTTGTATGCTTGAGTATTGGAAGATGAGATCTCCCTGTTAGAAATACACCTTTGCTCACACCTGTCATTTCCTGTATTTTTCCTTGTTCATTTTGCGGGGAGATCCAAAATAGACTATTTTGTTCTTGGGCAGAGACTTGTCTTTGTCTCTCTTTTCTCTTCTTTTCTTATAAAACAGGCATATTGTATGACTCCATGAGGTTGATTGAAAGTGTGCTCATATTACAGTCTCCCCATATTTAGAAAGCTAACACGTTAGAAGTATAGTTCTTTCCAAATAAGTAAAAAATTATGTTTCTTAGCATATGTTTGCTTCCGAAAAACACCAAAAAAGCTTATGCCTGCAAGAGAGAGGGATACACTACAACATTTTTAGCCCGCTTTCAGATGGAAATCTTTTGAGAATATTGCCTTACATGTGAACACAGTACAGATCAGATTGCTTTTGTGAGGGTTTGCCTTTTAGATTGCATTTAAATGTATTTTATTCCTTTCACATTTCTGGCTATTAAGGGAGCCTAAAAAGAAAGATGGAGGAGGAGAGGACAAAGAGGAGCTGGATTTTAAACTACTTTAGATGAGAAAGGAGGAGAATTGCCTGTCCTAGGAAGCTGTGAGACTGATGCCTAAGGACTCTTTTGATTTACATTCTCTCTTCTAATTTAAAGCAGACATACAACATAAATCTTGTTTAAATTATGCGGCAGTAATAAGAGCATGTCTCTTGCAGTAGCTCCATAGCAGCAGAAAGAGCCTGCTACATTCATTTGTGTTAAGACCCATTTTACTGATGACCCGATTAGTCCACGCATAAACAAGGCTCTTGAGGATGAGGCGCTACACTTTGGTTACGTGTTTAATCTCATTGATTTCCTTGAGATTCAGCATATGTAAGTGGGATTTAAAGAGCACCTTAAATGGTCTCCTGGTTCTTCTAATTCACCACTCTTACTCAAGTTGTGATTTCTCTTAATTGACTTGATATGATTGTTGCACTGTTCAGTAGAAAAGGGGAAACACTCCTTTTGTAGCAGTTCTATGGAAAATTCCAGCAAATAGTCTTGAAAGTAGAGTAAGTGCTGAGATCTCCTGTCTGGCTTTACTGGGATCATGGTGAAATGTAGTCAACATGTTTTATGGAGAGAAAGATCAATGTCAAAAGCCAACAGAGAGCCAACTACATATATATAATCAAATCTTCAGAAACATTACATGGGAGTCAAAACAGAGAAATACTGTGTAATGTGTTATCGAAGGCTTTTATGGCTGGAATCACTGGGTTGCTGAGAGTTTTCAGGGCTGTATGGCCATATTCCAGAAGCATTCTCTCCTGACGTTTCACCCACATCTATGTCGGGCATCCACAGTAGGTGTAAGAGGAGCCCCGATGGCGCAATGGGTTAAACTCTTGTGACTGAAAATCGACTAGTCACAGGTTCGAATCCGAGGAGAGTGTGGATGAGCTCCCTCTGTCAGCACCAGCTCCCCATGCAGGGACATGAGAGAAGCTTCCCACAAGGATGGTAAAACATCAAAACTTATGGGTGTCCGCTGAGCAACGTACTTGCAGATGGCCAGTTCTCTCACACCAGAAGCAACTTGCAGTTTCTCAAGTCGCTCCTGACACGAAAAAAAGAGGTTGTAAGTCCATTCTCAGACTTCACAACCTTTGAGGATGCCTGCCATAGATGTGGGCGAAACGCCAGGAGAGAATGCTTCTGGAACATGGCCATACAGCTTGGAAAACTCACAGACATCCAAATACTGTATAATCCTAGCTCATTCACCAAACTCCCAGTATCTTTCAGCAATTGGCTATGGTGGCTGGAGCGGCTGAGATTTTGCAAAACAATACCTAGTGGTAATGGGCTACACTGTCTTACTGTGAGATGGGAACAGAAAAATGTGTCTTCTACTGAGCTGTGGGCCTTCTTGTGGTCTCCTCTCTTGCTAAAACAGATAGAATAACATGCAGTTCTAGTCTGGGGAAGACTCCTTTTTTTTCAATTTCAAATATGGTTGAGATTCTTTCAGTTTTGAATCAGGCTCGTGGCTTTTGTTGTTTTTGTCAATCTGCTTGTCATCTGTGCGTTCAGGTGTTCTTTAAACTAGGCAAGAGAGCACAGAATCAATGCTGACCTTGCAGCCCCATCTTTATGTGCTTCCTTTTTATATTTGTATTTCTTTTGCCCCCTAGGACTATGTGCTTGCTGTGGAGACATATCACATGGTCATCAAATATTACCCAGAGCAAGAGCCACAGCTGTTGAGTGGAATTGGAAGGATTTTCCTGCAGGTATGTGCTTGATTCTGAATAAAGCCAAGTGACAGCTCCTCGTGATCACAGTAGAACAAATGTTTGTGTGTTTTAAAAATTGCCAGTTCGCTCATAGAGGGATGTAGTGATTGTACTGTTTAATTGTAGGCAACCAACAGCTAAATCATATTCCAGGTTATGATTTCAAACAAGTGGCTAACTGAACAGAGTGCCAACTTGGACGCACCATGCTTGCCTATAAAATGTGTAAAGCAGCATGCAGACGGCGTCTTAATTCTTTTACAACATCAGATTTATTCTTAGCTAGCTTTCCTTGAAGATTTAGATTACGATTCCACACAGAGCTGAACACCACAGTCACAATCGATATGGCCAGACAATACCGAAATAAGATTCTAGTCTAAAGAGCCTCTGCCTTGTTGAAATTATATTTAATACCGGGTGAGGTCTGCTTTCTAGAGAAGGGCTTTTGCACTTTTTGTAAGTTGTCTTGCATTGCACTACATATTAAAGGGAAACCCAGTCACTTACATATGAGATATATTAATAAGCAACCATACAGAATATATGAAAACAGATAAGTGTACCATTTGCATCAGCTCTACTGGTTGCCAGTCTGCTACTGACCACAATTCAAAGTGCTGGCTTTAGCCTATAAAGCCCTAAACAGTTATGGCCCAGCTTACCTGTCCAAACATATCTTTCCCTATGAACCATCACAGAGGTTAAGATCTTCTGGGGAGGCCCTGCTCTTGGTCCCAACTTTGTCACAAGCACGACTGGTGGGGACAAGAGACAGGGCCTTCTCAGTGGTGGCCCCTCGGCTATGGAATTCCCTTCCCATGACATTAGAGCAGCCCCCTCCCTCCTAGCCTTCAGAAGGAAACTAAAAACTTGGCTTTGGGATCAGGCTTTCAGAGAATAGTGCAGTGGAGTAACAGATTTGGAATATGTGCAGTGACCATGGAACGGCCTTGGACTACGATTTCTGGATGGTATGATTTTAATATTGGATGTAATGCTTTTAAATGTTTAATATGTATTAATTTTAATTAATTTTATTTTAATTTAATGTTTTGCATGTGTTTTAAGGCATTAAATAATTACCTCTATGTAAGCCACCTTGAGTCCCCTTCGGGATAGAGAAAGGCTGGGTGTAAAGAGGGTAAATAAATAAATAAATAAATTTCATTTGTTGCTAATCAAGATGAATGTAAAGTACCCCTATGTCCGCCATTCCATCCAGTTGTTCAGGTCATTGTTTAATCTGTAATTGCAAACTTTTCTGGGTAAGCAGAACTGATCAGTGATTCCCAGATTGTGCCACCTGGATAGTTTATTGCCACTACCCTGGCATAGTTCTTAAAGCAAGGATGAAGCATATGTGGGTCATTTGACAGTGGATTACATATGAGACCCTATGACTCTCCACCATGGAAGATGCTGGCTAGGGCTGATGAGAGCTGTAATCCAGGCATCTGGAGAGCCACCTTTCCTACCCTTACCTTAAAGATTTGAGGTACATCTGGTTCAGCACAGGCCCAGCCCTACTTGTTTTGCAGTTGCTACCTTCCTCCATACCAGTTTCAGGAACACCCTACCTTCCATAAGAAGAGATCTATAGCAACAAGAATAGGAAAAAGTTGATTAACATTAGTTTTCTGTTCCACAGAGCAGAAAAGTCTGTGTTACTGACACAGTTGCTAATCAGACTAATATGCTTCACTATTTAGCAGAATAGGTTGGAACTTGGGCCCTTTATAAAACTGGTGGGACATCCTATTTTCTTCACCAATGGAAGCTCCTGAGAAAACCACCATTTAAAATTACATATTTATTAAAAGCATTTGTGGGCCACCTTATATGAGGCACAACAAGGAACATAATAATAATAATAATAATAATAATAATAATAATAATAATAATAATAATAATTGAACATGCAAAAATACTGTGAGACTTTTGAATCCAGACTGACAAAGTTTTGGAACACAATTGTGGAAAAGAAAAAAGTTTGAATTATTGATGTCGCCGTACCAGGTGACAGTTGCATTGGGGAAAAACAACAGGAAAACCTCAGCCATTTTCAGGGCCTCAAAATCAAACTGCAAAGGCTCTGGCATAAACCAGTACGAGTGGTCCCAGTGGTAATCGGCACACTGCGTGCCATGCCAAAAGATCTCAGCTGGCATTTGAAAACAATAAACATTGACAAAATCACGATCTGTCATCTGCAAAAGGCCACCTTACTTGGATCTTCACGCATCATTCAAAAATACATCACACAGTCCTAGATGCTTGGGAAATATTCGACTTGTGATTTTTTGATAGGAAATCCAGCATATAGATCTCGTTTGCTATGACATACCGTGTTTTGTGTCAGTAAAATAATAATAATAATACTAATAATAATAATAATAATAATAATAATAATAATAATAATAATTTATATTCCACCTATCTCCCCAAGAGGACTCAGGGAGGTTTCCAACATAAGTTGCCAGAAAGGAAAACCATAAAAACAAAATAAACATCATAAAACATAAACATTAAATCCTACTAAAACAAACACAAAAATTTAAAAACCAGTTTCATTATAACGCCATCAGACATGTTCAAAATACTAATAGCCAGAATTACAAAATGGACATAGCCAACTATAAAAGGGCTGGGCAAGGCCTAGTGCAACAGTCAAACAATGTAAATTAAACAATGTAAAATAACAAATATATGCAACAACATAACACATACTTTTGTGTGTTCTTTAGATCATTCCCAACTTACGGTGACCCTAAATTAAGCTATGACTGAGTTTTCTTGGCAAGATTGTTTATAGGGGTTTACTTTTGTCTTCCTCTGGGGCTGAGAGAATGGTACTTGCCCAAGGTCACCCAGATGATTTCCATGTTTGAATGGGAATTCAGACCCTGGTCTCCACTCAAACCATTATGCCATGCTGGCTTGCAGAGAGTAAACCCACTTTAAAGCTAAGACAACCTCAAGGTTCAAGCAAAATAGAAAGATCTTTACGTGGTATACGTGCCAAGCAAGTCTCTCTGGGGAGAGAGTTTAATGACTGAAGTTTCCGCTTATTGCATCTGACTTGAGTGTGACCATGGAAGAGGTTCTCTGAAAATAACTGCGAGTTCAGTGTTTTGACAAAGAGAACAAAGTAGTCCTTCATGTATTCATGTTCTAAGTGATGAAGGGCTTTAAACGTCAACATTTTCACACTGAGTTTGTATTGCAAATAGATTGGGAGCCAGGAAAAATAACAAAACACTGTTGTATTATTTTCCCTATCAACCAGTCCCATATATTAGTCTCATGACCATAAATCCTGGATTAATCAGTTTACAGGTAATTAAATGTTTCCATTGAATTACTATATCAGAATAGTGTATACTATTTCTATCCTACTAAATCCCTTAAATTATTTTGTCAGTATGTTGCCTTCCCAATGCTATGCCTACTTAACTGGGAATAAGTCCTGTTAAATTCAGCCTGTATATGGACTTCTGTTGGAAATTTTAATTGAAAAACAAACACAGTAACTTGGTTTTCTTCTGATAACAACATGTACAAGTTGTCTATGAGTGAAAGAATTTAAATGATGTTCAATTGTAAAATATGAAATATCTGGAGAAATTCCTTGTTCAAAAAGGATTTGTAGGTCATCAATAAATGTAAGAGAAGTTTGCTCTGGATCTCAGCGGAGTGCCGAAAAGAGCAGAGTTCACTTCCTGGCTGCGCTCTTTTGCTCTGAGGTCCATCAGAGGCAGCGTGTGCTGCCAAGGCAGCCTTCCCAACCTTGGGGAGGATGCAAGGAGAGTGCCTCATGTCTCAGAGGAGCAATCTGTCTGTCCAATTCAAAGAGCAATGTTAACAGGCTCAGAAGGGAATCTTGTCTTCTTCAGTGTTAGCGGTTGTGGAAGGCCTTGAGGGAAGAAGGATTATTGGATATTCTTGAATTAGTGGTTTTACTGTCAGAATGGGGCCTTTTCCTTCAAGTGCCGCAGAAATGAAGACAAAGCATAAGAAGCCCTCTTGGCTTACTTACATAACCTTGAACAAGAGCAGCTGGAAATGCTGCTTCTTCCGTGAAATGCTGCACCAGAGATACCGTCTTTTGTTCTTTGTCAATGTTCAACTGCCTTTTGGAAACCCAAAAGAGAGCTCGCCAAGTTAAGCCTTAGGCGATTTGGTCGGGACGGAGAGGAATCCCAGTGTTGTCCTGAAGTGAGGCAATAGGAAACAGTAGTCTTTGTAATGAAATTCAGTACAGCTGCAAAACCTTAGGGATTAATGTATTTAATAGGGGAACTAAGAAAGAAGCAGTTTTCAACTAGCTGTGTTAGTCTGTTTCACTAAAACAAGAAGCAACTATACCTCAGCCATGTGTTTGAATATTTTTAGGGAACTGGCTGCAAAAGATACTAGTTCCTTCAAAAAAGCTGTAACATGTGTATTGGAATAGGGACCTGGCTGCACAATAACTTCTAGTACTCGGGGATGGTAGATGGTAGAGTTGGCTAGAGGAGATCCATAGTCACTGACCCAAGAGGATAAATCCAACCTCCAAACAGCGTTGTTGAAAAGTTTCTGGGTTTCTTGCTTGCCTGGGACTGTGAAAAAAATCTGAAAGTCCCTAAAATTTGCCTGGAGAGCTGTGTTTGATGGTGGGTGCATCTTAGCCTCGTGCGTCATTCTTCCAAGCAAAAGCTTAGCAACTCTCAGCCCAGTCTTGTATCAAGGATGAAATAAAAATTGAACAGTGAAAAAAAAAACATACTTGCCAGCAACACTTCTCTCCCTCTGTCATTTCTTTTCTTCACTGCACATAATAGACTGTAGTGGAAACTGGGTTGTTTTTTCTTCCCTCTTCTTGACCATTTATGTAGGCCACCGAGCTTTCCATTACACAAAGAATTCACCTCTTCTGCCCTTCAGAGATGCCAGTCAAATTAAGGGGATGCAGGAACATTTTATAAACTCCAGATACTGTAGAGACTATTCAACACATCAGGCTACGTGAAACTTCAGGTGCATACAAAGACTCATTGTTTTAGTCTATGGATCTGCACTTGCTCCTTTTCTGATCAGATGCACAGCCATCTTCATTTGAGGAAAAACTTCATGCTTCCTGTGCCAGACTGCGGTGCAGATTGCTGATTAGTTGGCTTCCATAGTTACTTTTAGAGCAGTGTTTCAAGGGATGTTATCCCCAGAGAGACACTGAGAAAGAGAGTGAGAAATGAGTGGAAGAAAGGGAAATGTATGTCGAAAAAGAAAAATGCTTCCCAAAGTGTTAGATTTGGAGGCCATTATGCTTGCATTGACTAGAGTACAGACAGAGGTTATTGCATGTCGATGGTGCAACATGGTGTTGGCTTTGGTGGGTACATACCCTTCCTTTTCATGTTTGTGATCCTTAGTTTCTTTTTCTTTTATTTGTTTAAAAATAGATCTGGATGTTGATTCTGCAATAATTCTCTTGAATAAAAGTAATACAAAAACAATCAGGAGGAGAAGTCAGAACAGGGCAAGATCACATTTTCAAGACCATTCTTTGATTCAGAATGTTTAGCTAATGTTAAAAGGTACAGGTGAAGGTTTCCCCTGACATTAAGTCTAATTGTATCTGACTCTGAGGGTTGGTGCTCATCTCCATTTCTAAGCCGAAGAGCCAGCATTGTCCGTAGACACTTCCAAGATCATGTGGCCAGCATGACTGCATGGAGCGCGGTTATCTTCCCACAGAAGTAGTACCTATTGATTTATTCACATTTGCATGTTTTTGAACTGCTAGGTTGGCAGAAGCTGGGCCTAACAGCGTGACCTCAGAGCTCACCCTGCTCCCCAGATTCAAACTGCCGATCTTTCAGTCTGCAAGTTTAGCAGCTCAGAGGTTTAACCCGCTCCATCACTGGGGCTACACTAACATGTAGTTACATGTAGTCAGCCTTTTATTCCACAACCCTGAGGGCCTTATAATGAAATAGATATTGAATTAAAATTATTATTTTAGTCAATATCTCTCTGACCAGTGTTTAAATCATAATACCTTTTGTGTATTGTGTTACTTCGTTGAGTTCTTTAATGTGTTGTGTTGTCCTTACATTTATCTCCAGATTGGAGACATTAAGATGGCTGAAAAGTATTTTCAAGACGTTGAGAAAGTGACACAGAAATGGGATGGACTGAAGAACCAAATTATGGTTTTAATGAACAGGTGGGAAATGTAAAAGCTAAATTAAGCTTAAATGTGATTTTGCAACGAATGCACTGTGAACATTTAAGAGGCCCTGGAGAATATTCTTTCTCTTCAGCTCTCTGTAATGTAACTACAACTGTCAGAAGGAAGACTGATTGGCATCTACCAGCCCATGAGATTTGTATGACATGGTATAACCATGTTATCTTGGGTTTATGAAGTTGTCCTTTCTTGGTTTAAAAAGAAATCTGGCTTTAGAAATATTTCTTGTCCACTATGGACTTGTCCCTTCAGGTCACTGTGTATGTTTACTTGTGTGACAGTTTTGCAGACGGATGTTGCAGTTCTAGCCAGACCTGTTGGGTCGAAGGGGTTGAGTCTCGTATTGTGCTCAGCAGAATTCCAGTTATGCTAGAAAAGGAAAAACAGAAGCGATATTCATCCACTTCTTTCTATCTCCATGATCCCCAGACAAACTGCTGCTTGTATTTGGCAGATCCTCCTAAACAGCTTGGACGATGAGACTTGATTCTTTGTGAGGATGGGATAACAAGTAATCAGTAAAAATTAGCACTTCACTCTCTTTCTTCAGTGGGGACCCTCCATTCGGTTTCTATTTCTTCTCTGAATTAAGTATTGTGTTCAGGGGGACAAATCTGAAACCAAACCTCATAGGTTTATAACTAGTCAAAATAAGATTCTTGAGAAAAGACTAGTTTGCAAATCCAATTTTCTAAAGAACTAATTTTAAGATTACGTTTAAAATTGTGAGTACAATCCATGTATTTGAACACATATTCAAGTATTCTATACAAAGAACCAGAAATGGTTGCAGCTTCCTGTTAAGTTCCTTTACAAACTTATATTTATCTCTTTTAATGTGTGAAGTAGCCAAGAACAACTTGTATCATCAGTGTAGCTTTGGTTTGCATTTTTTATACTTGTAAACCTAAATAGTCACTTACAGAAACATAATTTGAGGTTGATTCATGATGATCAGTCAAGAGCCACTTGCATCTTAAAGGAAACAAGGGTGCTGTTCCCTTTTGTCATATATTTATTGCTTTTCGTTTTCTCAAGTAGCAGTAATTTTCTGAAGGAGCATGTTCCCTCTCTCTCTCTCTCTCTCTCCCTCTCTCTCTCTTCATCCTTATCCCAGAGCGTTTCTGCATCTTGGCCAGAATAACTTTGCAGAAGCCCACAAATTCTTCACAGAAGTTTTGAAGATTGACCCATCAAATGCTGTGGTAAGAAACAACTGGTTATTGAATGTGTGCTGTCCCTTTGAGTTGGTGCCCAAAATCTAGTTAGTGCTGTAGAAAGAAGAAAAACATACACGCCACTCCCAGAGTTTAGTACTTACTTAGGTGATCCCTCGTTGTCCAAGTATGATGGCCTTCAAAGCATAGTGTTTGACAATAAGGGCATCGGTTTCCAGATGGAAAGCCATTGTTTATACAATTGCTTTATAAAGAAGCCAGGGTTGGCTTGACGTGCCTTCCTCTTGACATGTTTCTCCCTTTTGCCCTCCATTCATGCCTCTTCGAATTGCGCAGCACTGCTGGTCACAGCTGACCTCCAGTTAGAGTGCTTAAGGGCCAGGGCTTCCCTGTTCTTGGTGTCTATGCCATAGTTTTTAAAGTTGACTTTAAGGCCATCTTTAAATCTCTTTTTCTGTCCACCAACATTATGTTTCCCGTTCATGAGTTGGGAATATAGTAACTGCTTTGGAAAATGGTGATCGGGCATTTGGACAATGGGGCCAGTCCAGCGGAGTTGATGGCATAGGAGCATCGCTTCAATTCTGGTGGTTTTTGCTTCTTCCAGCACGCTGACATTTGTCCTCCTGTCTTCCCAAGAGATTTGCAGTATTTTTTGGAGGTGATACTGATGGAATTGTTCCAGGAGTTGAGTGTTACGTCTGTAGACAGTCCATGTTTCACAGGCATATAACAGGGTTTGGGAGGACAATGGCTTTATAAACAAGCACCTTGGTATCTCTATGGATGTACTTATCCTCAAACATTCTCTGCTTCATTTGGAAAAATGCTGCACTCACAGAGTTCAGGTAATGTTTAGTAAACAAAAAAAAGAGAATTTGGTAAACAAAAATGCATAGGGACAACTTAAAACCTCCAGACTCCACCTGGAAGGACATAGATGTTTAGGTAGCACATTTGAGTGCTTTAGCATGATCCTAGTCTTTCCTGCAAACTGCCCTGAATTGAATGGAGAAAAGCACCATTCGTGTTTTATAGATTAGGGATGGGCAGTGTGTATGTAGCCTTCCAGATCTCCATGGGAATTTGGCTGCCATTGTCTCCCAGCAGTGGCTGTGTTGCCCGAGGCTGATGGGAGTTGAGAGCTGAACAATATATGGAAGGCCATGAGTCATCTGCTCCTGGCGCAGGATGACAGTCACCTTGAACTTAATGAACTCCTCTGCCTTATCTAAGCAAATAGGCAATGTTCGTAATGGCTGGCACTCTGGCAGGCTCTGACGAAAAGAGGATGCAAGCCTCTCCACAGTGTCAAGGATATGACAGGAAACCATCTTACCATGTGGTGCCATTTTTGTCTTGAACTGTAACTTCTGGCTTCTTAAGTAAATCTAATGTAATTTTTTCTCTCCAGGCTAACAACAATGCTGCTGTTTGTCTGCTTTATCTGGGGAAGCTGAAGGATTCCCTCCGGCAGTTGGAAGGGATGGTTCAGCAGGACCCTAAACACTACCTCCACGAGAGCGTGCTTTTCAATTTGACAACTATGTATGAACTCGAGTCTTCTCGCAGCATGCAGAAGAAACAGGCTCTGCTTGAGGCGGTGGCTGTCAAAGAGGGCGACAGCTTCAACACACAGTGTCTCAAGTTAGGATGAGGCTGTCCTGTTCTACTTGGGAGGGAAGAGTCTCGTTTCAGAAGTTGTACATACTCCTGCTAATCTGTAAATGTTCCTCTAGCTGCAAGTGCAATAAAAAGCTTTTTTAATTATGAGCATATGGTAAAATTGCAACACTGTAAGAGTTTATACGCTGGTCTGTTTCAACAAATCCTGGCTATCACCCCAGGGATTTTGTGTTGATCTACAGCCAACTTCATCCCTGCAGTTATTGCCAGCTTATAGGATATACAAACAATCGCAATTATTCAGATGGGTTTTTCCTCCCTGAAAATAGCAGCGTATCTGAGCTAACTTGTCTTGATGGCTTTTGTTCGAAGCACATTCGGGGCTTAGTGATAAAATGACACCAACTAGACTCATTGCCTGTGTATAATTGGAGGACACTGGGCGGCAGAGGGAAGAACGCTGCAATAAAACAAGAAATTATGAAGACGGGCTCTCTTTTTTTCAGCTTCCCACCCACTCCCACCAAAGCTATGCATCCAGTCATTCTGTTTCTTGAAATCTCAGCAAGCTACTCAAAGCACACCCATGTAGTTATGTGACATAGTCCAGTCACCTTGCTCCAGCAGAGCTCCCAGTGGTGCAATGGGTAAACCCCTTGTACCAACTGAAGGTCAGCAGTTTGAATCCGCGGAGTGGGGTGAGCTCCCATCTGTCAGCTCCAACTTCTCATACAGGGACATGAGCGAAAGTTTTCACAGGATGGTAAAAGATCTGGGCGATGTCCTTGCAGCCAATTCTCTCACACCAGAATGCGTGAGTCGCTCCTGACACAAAAACAAAAAACAACTTTGCTCCAGAAGAATCTATGCAAGCTGCAAACAAAGAACTTGCCACCAGTAATTTCCTCACAATATTTTGGGGAGCAGAAAACAATGAGCATTGTTAATAACTTGAATCTTAATTATCAAGCCTCCAAATGAGCTTCACAATTTTCCATTTACTTGGATGGTTAGAAATACATCAGGATGTAGCCAAGTATTTCAGAAAAAAACAACTCTAAAAAAGAACAGGGTTTTGTTTGGCATGTCATGTATCATCCTCAGCCTGGACAAAACTGATTAACAGTAAAGTTTGATTATTACAAAAGCGGGTTCTAGAATAGATTAAGGTAATGGGTTAATATAGAGACAGAATACATACAGACCTCCAGACTGCAAATCCCAGCAGCTCTTGCCAGTATAGCCAAAGATTGAGACAATTGAGAGTCACAGTTAACAAAAGCACCACATAATTTCCACCTTTGGGCACCTGACACCTGATAACTATCAATGTGACAGTTCATAGTATAATGATCCTACCCCATGTGGTTTTTCAGTTAAAATTAATGATACTTTGTCTTCTATACATCTATTAGCATTTGGTGACCAAGGCATGTTAATAGTATTCATTGACATGGCTGTATGGCTAGCCCTAATATTATTTTCTCCTTAATGTTTATGTTTTTTCCACCTTATTATTACTCCCTTTCTTCTATAGCAGTAGTTTGCATACCTTCATGAAGTCAGTTATAGTTCACACTGTAAGTGACCTATAAGGGAAAATTAATGGCACTTTGTGTTGTCGAAGGCTTTCATGACTGGAATCACTGGGTGCGGTGAGTATTTATCTGGCCATGTTCCAGAAGCATTCTCTTTCATTTTGCCCACATCTATGGCCTCTGCACCCGTGATCTCCCAGACAGGGGCTGCCTGTGAGAGGAAGGAAACAAGCACAGGAAGGGTGAAGGGGCAAGGGACAGGGAATGGCCTGGCAGCCGCAAACCTGGCGGGTGCTCCGGGAGCCGGTGTGGGGGTAATCCTGTGGGCGTTCTGAAGCCCGGCTGGGGGGTAGCTGTAGGGACTGCCTAGGGAGAGGTGGGGGAAAGACGGTAGCCAGGGGGGGCGGGGCATGGGGCCCGCCGGGGCGGGGGAAGGCTACAGCTTGGGTTGCAGGGGCGGCGCGATTAGGGGGAGGGGGCAACAGGCGGGGGGGCGAATCGGGCAAGGGGGGCGCAGGGGGCGGGCGAGCCGGACGGCCAGGTGAAGGCCTGCAGGCGGTCTGGTCCCTGGACCCGCCCAACCCTAAACTAAAGGCAACAAACAACACTCAAAAAGGGGCCAGGCATGATCGGACAGCGATCCCCCACAAAGGTGGCCGGCCCCCGGCAACCACAGGCTGGGAAGTGCCAAGCCATTAAATGCTAATCAAGGTGGCTATGTTCACCAGCCTCAAGCAGACAAGAGTTTCTTTCTCCCACCTGGACTTTCCACAGATATATAAACCTCACTTGCCTAGTTTCCAATAGGCCCTTAACCTCTGAGGATGCCTGCCATAGATGTGGGTGAAACGTCAGGAGAGAATGCTTTTGGAACATGGCCATACAGCCTGGAAAACTCACAGCAACCCAAAATCACTTTGAATTCTCAGGTATCAGAATGGTTTGTTTTAAATAGCAACATTTCATTCCAGTCATCCTCTCCTGAGCCCAGCTAGTCTTGGGAAGGCCGCTTGGTCCATAAAGCAGAAGACCTTTCTTCTTCAAGCTGTTTGACTGCTTAGAAGCCCTTCTGTTAGAACTTTAAAGCAAGCTGTAATTTCATGCAGCCTCGTTCCGTCTGTTCTTAAGCCAGTATGAGGGAGAGGGCTTCTGTCAATCAATCACACTGTTTTAAAATCCCTCTCATTGGGCATTCAGAAATGTGAAAGCTGTACATTCTGTAAAGAGAAATGCAACACATTGTCTCCCAATTTGATGACATTGTGAGCTTCAATAGCAGCTGGTGCAAATTTGGATACAAAACAAGAACCCACAAATTATCTCTCTCCTCAAAAACCCAGCAAATTGCTTCCGGGGGAAGGAGCTTTCTGATGTCAATGCTTAAGCGGTTACCTTTTAATGATTCACCAAGTGTATAAATGTCCCTCCTTTGGGTGCATTGCAGAAGCAAGCCTTTGGTCCTCTCTGCTCTGTTGAGTCAATGGAGACTACAGCATTGTGTGGCACTGCAGAAAAGGGAAGGTTTCTTCTTCTCGCTTCTGCAATCATTACAAAAATAAGCACTAAAACCCATCAAAATGGAGAGCCGGAGGACTGTAGGAGATCCAAGGCGATAGGTGCCTATAGCAGTAATCTCTTTTTGAAAACAATTTATCACCAACATTAAAAATATAAGTACAAACGCTGCACAGAATTACATATTATTTTTCCACCCACATACTCAGTTTGTATCAGAGATTTTCCGTACATCTTCAGCTGTTATTTCAGATTACAGCTGCGTATCATCACTCCACAAGCACCATTTCCAGACTTCAGACTTTACAAGTTGTAAATAATTTGTTCACAAATTATTGTTTAGTGCTTATTTTCAGTTTCTGGTAAACATGGTGGACTCACACTACAATATAACTTAAATAGGGATAACATCCTATGATGGTTTAACATTTTTAAATAATTATTTCACTCTGGGGTAGCTTCACTAAGTGATGAAAGAAAAATATCACATGGGAGGAGATAATACATTATATTATTGACAGTGGTTTGTAGTAATTAGATTTATGAGTATGAAAAAACTGTTTTAATTCTTTTTGAGCAATAGGAAAATAAGAGTTGGTACAATACTGATATGGACCTTGAAGCAGTAGAACTAATTACTAAAGTAACTTTCTAAATAATGCAAAATTAGTGGATTTGCAGAAGTTGCAGGGTGGAGCTCCAGTTTATATTCCTTATGCTAGGTCCAGAAGCTTCTCAGAGCTGCAATAAGTATAGTTGCATTCCCAGGTAAAACTACTTGTCTCTGGAAGAGTTTCATAGCTATGCTTACATGTGTTACGTGGAGCGTCTGGTGGTGCATTGGGTTAAACTTTTGTGCCAGCAAGACTGCTCACAAACAGTTTGGTGGTTAGAATCCTTGGAGAAGGGTGAGCTCCTGTCTCAACTCCAGCTCCCCATGTGAGGACATGAGAGAAGCCTCCCACAGGATGGTGAAACATTAAAACATCCGCGTGTCCCCTGGGCAACATCCTTGCAGACAGCTAATTCTCTCACACCAGAAGTGACCTGCAGTTTCTCAAGTCATTCCTAACACAAAAAAATGTATGACATGTGAATCAGTCTCATAGTGTGTAAGAATAGCACAACAATGTTACTCCAACGCAGATCATTGGGAGTAGATGGTGTGAGTCTACAAAACAATTGTGTAGTACTGTGAAATAAATGTGGTTGTATTGCGCATGAGGTGTTATAACATATCACATCTGTTCCATCTCACAACTTTGCCTCAATGTCTCCTATGCTGTTTGCAAGTCCTTCACTATGACATTTGGGGTCCTAAATGCTTCCATCATAACAGTGCTGTGCCATGAAGATTCAACTGCTTTTAAATGCAGGAGGCCGGTAAACATACTGGGTTTTTTTCTGCACAATTTATGTGCATTGTTGCTTATGCTATAAATCTCATATTTACATAATGCAACACTAAAAGTCTAGAAACCAAGCCCTGTGAAGAATGATGGCTTAGGGAGGTGGGCATGTTTAGTCTGGAGAAGAGAAGATTGGGAGACAACCATATTTAAATATTTGAAGGGATACCATGTAGAAGGTGAAGTGAGCTTCTTTTCTGCTGCTCCAGAGATTACAACACAGATCAATTGATTAAAATTACGCAAAGCAGAATTTCAGCTAAACATTAGGGAGACTATAAGAGCTGTTCTGACTGCCTCTGAAGGTGATGGACTCTGCTTCTTTGGAGATCTTAGAGATTGTATGGGCATATTTCATTCGTGTTATAGCTGTGTATCCTTGTATAGCAAATGGTTCAATGTTATGGTCCCCTGTGATTCTTTGAAAAACTTGTAGAATTTCTAAAAGAAAACATGGAAAGTTGTGTCTTTTCCTATATACTGTTTTCAGCCTAGCCTTCCTTTTGGGTTCCTCATATTTCCTCGATATGTAGAACAAATATTTTATTACATTTATAGCTCACAATTTGTGGAGGCTTTTAAACAGAGCCTGGATGGCCATCTGTCGGGGGTGTCTTGAATGCAATTTTCCTGCTTCTTGGGGTTGGACTGGATGGCCTATGAGGTCTCTTCCAACTCCATGATT